TTTGTGGATTGGTTTGCCATTGGGTAATACAGCTCTACATTGCTCCTGTATTCAGGACTGATGTTTTTAATGTGACAATTTAACCCTGAGTTAATAACCTTTCTGATGTAGTATGGTCACGCTATATCTGCAAGGAGAGTTCTCTGTTGCCCAATAATACATTTCACTGGCAGTAGCTACTAAATGAACCAAAGTTCGTGAAATCCTAAAAAATATCTTGCCTACTTCGCAACTGCATGTAACAGCCAAGTGTCCGATTTGCAGAACTGTATTCATTGAGAATTCTCAAGGTGACTTGCAGAAAGTCATACTGTGACACCTCTGTTCTCTCAGCCCTAAGGTTCATGCTACAATCATTAGGCTATGTTCCTTTTCTTAATTAAGAGTTAAAACATCTTTGCTTTTCCTTTATATTTTTTTATTTATATTCCCTCTTCTGAGGAATGAACATATTTGGAGTAACAGAAAGGTCTAATAGGGTTTTTTTTCTAATTTGTCTGTACTTGCCTTTGAAAACAAACATAGTGTTAAGGTCAGTAAAGCACATGCATCTTGTGTACAGAAAATAAAGTCTGTTGCAAAGTACAAGTTGTATGTGAACTTTGTATAGTGGGGAGAATACAGAGTTTATTCCACAACTGTCTTTTTCAAATGTGGTTTACAGAGCCTTTCCTTTGTCTTACTAATTGAATTCATTTTGCATTCAGTATTTGATTATTCTGATAATTTCTAATCAACTGTATAATGCATGTTTGAACTGCACAATGGTACTTCAAACAGCCAGCCATAGCCATGAGGGCAACTTCTCTATCCTTTATTCTGGGAACAGAAGAGGATCAGTTGCATTTTTACACCATTCTAGATCCCGACTCCCTTCAACAGCAGCTGCTCATTCTTTTCTTCCCTGCCTGCTCCCCCATGATGCATTTGCACTCAGGATATCCACGAAGGGATGGGACATGCCTATGCTGCTTCTGGAGTTGCTACTTGATGTCAGTAATTTGCTTACAGAAATTCTGTCTTGGTGATCTGAGTTAGCATTTACTTGAAGAGAGTTAGTATATAACTGTGGAGAAGATGCTGTTAATCCGTGGCTGTCCTGGACTGTAGTTTATGACACCTCTATGATAACATCCTGGCTTTGGCCCCACACCCTGGTTTTTCTCTTCCTGTTAAGTTTTGGTAGACCTTAAGCCAATTCCATGATTAATCTACTGTATCAATGTAAAAGATTTTTTTTTTTTTTTAATGCCCCTTTTCCTTCCCAAATGCTTCATTTTGTTTCTGGGACAACTCTACTTGCATTGGATCTTGGAAGCATTTCAGACTCAAATTTTCCAAAGGTTATTTTCCGGTCTCTCTGTATGCTTCCCACATGCACACACAGCTTCCTCTCTCCCCCAGTCATTTTTTAAAATTCAGTATGCGTAAAGTCCTGGTGAAGGAAAACTCGGTAGCAAATAAAGGATGCTGCAGCCAGATTTGGATGCACACGGCTCGAGATGACTTTTTCAGTTTGGGTGTGCCAGTTGATCTGTGGGATTACTGAATTGCACAGACAATGCCTATTCCCTGGCAATCCTTCAAGGTGGCACTAATGTGAATTCCTCTGCACTTGCTTAGTGAGAGCGACCTGGCAAGCAAAAAACGGGAATGCAACAGCAATGGTCTGCAGTGTCTTAGTCATCTGTCTCACTCAGCAAGGAAAAGAGAGATGATAGACTTCACAGTGGTTTAATTTTTTCTGTTTGGTTGGTTTTTTTGTTGGTTTGTTTTGGTTTTTTTTTTAAATTGACAAGTATGCATACACATGCTCAGGGAAGCCAGTCTGAAATGTGCTTTTCTAAACATTATGAAAACGAAAATCCCCACAGCAAAACCTTGGGATTTTAAAATATTTTAATTTTCTGGAACAGAGGCCTCACATTGCTCGTACAACATGAAGCTTTTCATTTCCCACCTATCAAAGAATTTATTCAGAGATGGCAAGGGAAGATAAAAGAGTGGTGTTTCTGTTTTTAATTGCACCCTTGGCTGAAGGCCAAACTTGGCAGTGGCAAATTTTGTTTCTGTCTTTTGCTCAGAGAGTGCCTTTCAGCCCTTCTAATGTGAATATTCACATTAACGTCAAATGTGTACTGATCCACTAAAGAGAACAAATTCCTCCCATCACTCAGCTTGTTCAGATACTGGTAGAAAAATCTGAATTGTTCATTCTGAACTTGTTGCCACCGATCTTTTCAAAGACTTTCAACTAATGAGTGCCCGGTTACATTCATGATACTCTTTTGACCTCTTTATCCTAACATTTTTGTTTGCTCTCTGCTGCTGCACAAAGCCACTGATGCAATTTTAAGTCTGCAAATAAACAGTTTGTTGCCACATACAGTCCATAGCTTAAAACGTACAAAAGGAAGTTGAAGGTAAGTTTAAACATTTTCAGGTGGTAGTAGTTGTTGGACCAACTTCAGCTCCCTCTTTAATTACCCAACTTCTACCACACAAATATGGGAAGGAATTTTACTCCTCTCTGTGATTTCACAGGGCAATTTCTACACGTATCACATGCATAGTATTTCATATGTCTCTTGAGACAGATTAATTAAGAAGCACATTAGCTATTTGGTACCAAGACTCTGCTTAGCAATGATCAAAGTTCTTCCTCCTCCTGCAGAAAAAGTCACTGACAGACTAAGCCTTATCTCTCAAATTAGGCTGTGAATGTCTGGCATCTCACTCAGTGAGAGCAGTTTCCATTAATACCCACCCAAGGGCAGAAGACACAGACATTTTAATGCCAGATACAGATCTCAGCCTAAGCTTTCTCTCCAGTGTCAAGTGCATCTGTTTGGCAGCTCCAGCACAATCCTTTCCCTTGGTTTTGGTTCTCCAAGCTCTTGTATGGGAGGCTGGGTGTTTAAATTGAGCCAGGGTGATTCAGCAAATATCCTTTTGCAGCTCTCTGCAGGGCAGCAGCACTTGACAGCAAGATGACTCCACAGATCGTGCTTTATCAACAGTCCTAAAGTCTACCAGCCCACTGTGTGCTACGAGAGGTTAGACAGCAGTCAGCAAAAACCCCTCATTGATCGTGGGAGGTTGAGGCCCTTGGAGGGGGGCACTAAAAATCCAGGGGTGTAAGGTAGTCGAAATGTGTGCTTACTTTGATATACAGGTGCAGAAAGGTGCAGCTCGGTCACCTAGTCAGGCAAAATCTCTCTTACATCTTTGTAGGATACAAAGTTTGGAGTTTGTACTCAACATCTGAGTGAAAGGGGGAAATGGCTTTTAACAAATTGGAGGTAGCAGAAAAAATCTAATAAGAGAACTTGATAGCTATTAACCATCGGCAAGCATAAAACTGCGGAGTAGGAATGTCTACAGATAAATTGTCCTTTCAGAGTTCTTCCTTTGGAGCACTGAGAATCAACAGTAGCCACTTCCATGAATAAAGTTGTCCCAAAATGAAGAATTAATGGATAAATGAGAAGGCTATTAACCTGCTGATGTTAGAAAAAGGGCTGGTTTGGAGAAACAGGGAAAGGGAGCTGGAAGCAAAGGAAAGAAGGGGGAAAAGAACCTTCCAATGAACATGTTCTCTGGCCTGCCAAATCTGCTGGTTTGTGCAACTGGCTACTACATTCCTGCAGTTCTTTAGCTGTTTGAATGCAATTCAAAATTACCTCATTTTTAATTACAGTATTTGGCATCTATTTAATCAAAGATTCCTTAGTTATTCCTGCAACTTAAATTCCTACCATAACCGAATTAATCCAATGTTAATATATTGGCTAGTTGCTAATTAATAAAACACTGGTCTCATTGCTTCCAATTTTTAATTTTGTCTGTGAAAGGACTGTGATGATAAACACTAGTCATTAATTACTGAAATCCAAGCAGCAGACCTGGAGAAAGCATTTTTTTAGAACAAGGGAATCCCCTGACAGGAGAAAGGGTTAGAGGTTTTTCCTGTTGAGTGAAAGATGACTGAAACTCTTCTGTGGCTCCCGGTGCTTGAAGTTAACACTGTTCCCAACACCAGCGCTGCACAGCATCTGCTGCCTGCAGACGCCCGTGCACACGGAGCCTGGGCTGGCCAGCAGGGTTTTTTATTGGCTTTCTTTAGCGGGAATTGTGTCGGAGCAGAAGGTGGGCACTGCTGGGTCCTTCTTTGCTGCTGGAGGAGCCACAAATGGAGGAGCCGTAAAGCAGCAGCACATTTCAGAAGCCGGGCACCGGGCACCTCGCGAACTGCACTTCCCAGCACGGATAATCCGAATGACAAACTGGAATCACCGGGACACGGTGGGATAGCTCACGTGACGGGGAATATTTTCAGGGATGGGTATGTACTCTTTAGGACAGGTCAGAGAGGCGAGGTGCTGGAGTTGCTCTTTACGTGAGACGGCAACGAGAGTGTATCGAGCTCTGCCCAGGGGTAGAGGCACGAGTTGAGCGTTTATGGCTGAGAATTAAGGGCTCATACGGTGACGCTGTTGTGGGTGTTCGCTGCCGCCCCATCAGGAGGAGGGAATCGATGAGGCTTTCCATGGGCAGGTGGAAATAACCTCGCAGTCTCAGGCTCTGGTTCTCCTGGGGGAACACTTCAACCACGCTGATTTTTGTTGGAGGGACCGCAAGGGCCGGCACACACAGCCCGGGAAGATCCCGCAGGTTCTCGAGGATAAATTCCCCTCTGGAAGCGCCGCCAGAGCCGGGAGCGCGAGGGGTGTCGCTGTCACTTTAAGGGCGCGGGCGCGCACCGCCCCCACCTCGCGCTGCCCCGCCCCGCATCACGCGCTCGCCCCGCGCGCCGGCAGGCCCGCGCGCCCTCCCCCCCCGCCACGCGCTCCCATTGGCCGAGCGGCGCGAGCCCGCACAGTCAACATGGCCCGCGTGCGGCGTGGCGACCGCGGCGTCGCCGGGGCCAATAGGCGGCGCGTTTGCTGAGGGAGGCGCCCATGCCGCGACCAATGGGACGCGGCGTTGCTGGCGGCGGCGCTGCCCGAGCGAGGAGGCTGCGAGGGGCGCGGGCGCTGCGGCCTCTGCGGCGCGGAGCGGAGGGGCAGGTGAGGGACGGCGGCCCCGGCCCCGCCACCGCGGCCCGGGCACTGCGCACGGCCCGGGCCGGACACCGCCCTGCTGGGCTGCGCCGGCCCTCAGGGCCCGCTCCGCGCGGAGCCGCCCGGCGAGGGGAGGGGGAAGCCGGCCTGGCCGGACCGGGCCTGGTCGAGCACCATTTTATGGACCGTTCGAGGAGCTCGGGCCGAGCGAGGGGCGGCCCGCGCTGCCCCGAGCCTGGCGGAGGGGAAAGCAGCGGTTCCGGCCGCATGTATGGCCGCGCTGGGCTGGCGGCGCGCCCGCCCTGTCCCCGCCCTCCCGGCAGAGCGGGGGAGGAGGAGGGCGGCTGTTGGTGGTGAGCGGTGTCCCCGGCGCTCGTACGCCGCGCTGCTCGGGTTGGGTCAGGCCCTCGGCCGCTCGGCTGGGCCGTGGTGCCTTCGTTTGACCTCAGCCACGGTCCTGTGCCCCAGCAGCATGGTGGGGGGTTTTGAGAGGGCTCGCGTTTTCATTTCGAGTTCCCTGTCTCCCAAGTGAGGGCCTGTTTAAAATTTTCGCTGCCGCTACGATTGTTTACTACGCGTAATACCAGCGCTGGTAGGGTTTGCCAGACTCCTCCGTTCCTGTAACATCTGCTCACGGTGCTTCGAAATACACAGTCAGAGAAGAGAGGGTGTGAGTTACAGATGAAACCAGAATCACGAGGCAAATTTTATAAAGTCATTTCTAAACAAAATAGCGTTCCCTCAAGAAAGCATCTGAGGGGGGCCCAGGTATTGCTGATGTCCGGGGCTTGTGGAACAGGTTAATGAGCTCCTTCCTTTCAGCTGTTTTTTTCACGATCCCTTCGAGTTTTCCTTCCTGAAAATATCAGACTCTTGTGTTTTTTGTTTCCCACGGGGTTACATCCCAGCGGCTCTAACGTGGAAGTCACAACTTTCCCTTCTGATTTGTTTTAGTTACGAAAAACAGAAACAGCCGTGGGCAGGAGCCTTCCTGTGAGTGCAGGAGCCCTTCGGTTTCCTGCTTTGTGTTTCAGTTGTGTTCAGGAGGTTTTTTATAACAAGTCATAGGCTTTCTTGGCAGAGAAGATTTATTTTTCGTACACTTATTTACGAGTACATCTTGCCAATGTACAGACTTTTTCTTTAAATTTGTGTCCTTTAGGATATTACTTGTCCTTGTAATGGCCTTTTCCTGTCCTAGTGTGCATCGAGTTTAGGGTTTCCTGCTGGTTTTAGTGACTGATGGAGGGTGATGTTTGTGCCAGGCCAGTTGCAGCAGCCTGTACTTTGTGGGACAAGGGATTGTTCTGGTCCCCTCTCTCCCCAGAGCTTCATGTCTGCAGGAGTCATTTGAAAACAGCAACAACATGCTAATTGGCCTCTTATCGGTGGTGGTGGCAGCGATAACAGTGATGCCTTCCACTGTTATTTCCTCGGGGTTCTGATGGCTTTTTCATGTCTTCACTGGCTGTAAACTGAGCTCACTTGCTTGGAAAACAGTGAAGGTGATGAAGACTCAGTGCTTTGGTACTGCACTTTTTCAGCCAGGTGTGCACCTAACTTTGTCTGTCTTTCCCCTCCTCTGCTATCAGCAGCTTGTACTGAACTGATTTGTTGATGACTCTGTTGCAGTGAAGTCATTACGAGGCAGTTGGGATGAAAGTGAGAATCATAAGCTGTTTTCTAAGAAAGCTTCTTCTGATTATTGATTGATATACTTCTTTTTACTTTCCAGTTGCCAAAAGCACAACTCTAGGGAGTGAAACAAGACTTAAAGTATGTATTTGCACCAGGGAATGGTGTATTTTTTTTTCTTTTTTTTTGATTGTTGTTGTTTCTTGTTACTTGGGTGAATGGCTTTTGTTAGAACGTGCCCAATTCATGCCTGTTCTAGTGGAGATTAATTCAACTGCTGTTTTAACATTATTCAAGCTATGGGCAACTTTATTCCATGTTTTCCAAATGCAAATTAGGATCTTACCTTCCCTCAGCTGATCTGAGAAATAGTTCCTTGCAGCAAATACAGCACATACAGTGCAGCAGAGGAATGTGCTTTTCCATTAGCTCTGTCACTGGGTATAGGTTGGAAGCAACAAGTGTTTGAGCATAATTTTTAAGTAACACAAGTCTGCATTTTTAGTTGCTTACTGTAGCCTCTTCTAATAGTGACTGGGATCATGTAACTTGTTGGCTGAACTCTGATGTTAGGTCAATTTGCTCTGTCTTACCTTTTTAATTGTGTCCTTTTTTCCCCTGCCTTCTATTTGCTATAAAAGCCTCATTTATACTCCTTTATTTCTTCAGCTGTAAGATAGTAAAAATCTTCTGTTTTGCCCTAGCAGGTCGTTGGTGGCAAGGCCACTTTGTTTTGTTATGTTCAAGGCAAGAGGAAGTGTTTGCAAATAAATCTGCCTGAGCTTGTGAAACACCTACTCTGCCAGGAGCCCCTTTTGTTTGTTCCTAGGCTTGCCCTATCCGGTGGGCTCATGGCTTGTTTGGTAGATATTAAACAACTTCCTGTGGAATAATCTGAAGTGTGCTCCTAGTACTTTCGTAAATGAACAAAGCCTTTCAGCTCTATTTAAAGTGGTTGTGAAAATGTTGCTTTTCCAGCTTAGAGCAGGATTCAGCATTTTCCAGATGGGAGAGTGCGTGCAGTCTCTGGGCTGCTGCTCAAGTTGGCATTAGCACTTGGGTTCTTCTTTGGTAGCCCTGTATTGGAAGCTGGGCCTAATCAGCCTGCATGGCCTTTATAGAATCTAAGAAATCAAATCTCTCAACTCTCACAAGTGATTGAAGCTCCTTTTTGTTCTGAACTTGACTTGCAAACTAAAATCTGCTTTCTTGAAAGCTTGGTAGTGGAAAATGTCACCTATGCTTCTGTGTGATAGGATGTGATTGCTTGAATTTGTGTTCAGCTGTTTAGAATGGGGGTAAAGAAAGTAAAAAAACAGTGTTACTAAAATAGATGTGCAGATTTGGGTATTTCACCCCAGTAAAGAAAGAACAGCAAAATAAGTAAGACAATCTGTCTCCCTCTGGTTTCTCAGGAAAGCTAATTTAGATGTTGGGGGCTGGGGTAGCTGTGCTAAACTTGGTTCCAGTCATTGCTAATACCAAGATTTTAATTTCCCATCTTTCTTCTTCATTTTCTCATACCTGATAAATTCAAGGCAAATTTTTATGTTGGGGATTGTGCCCTCATGACTACTGTCAAAACCCCTTCTCTTGGTAAATAATTTTCCCTTCAGTGTTTTTTTTAATCTAGTAGCAGGCTCACTGTAGAGCAGCAGAAGCAGCTATTCATGAAAACAGCCCTGATTAGACAGACAAGTGAAGCATATTTTTCTGCCTGGGTGACGGAAGAAAAAAGTCATTTGGAAGTTGTTGTAATTAATTCATTTGAACTTTCATTGTTTTCAACTCTGGTATGCCACTGTAGTATAGGCAGAGATTAAAAATTCATTATTTACTGTGATACTGTCAAAGAATTACAAAATAATATGTCTTCTTCTTTGGCTTATTTTTGTTTAATAGAACGCAGAGCTAATCTAGGAAACTGTGGCACTTGTCTTCAGGCTGAAGACACATGATAGGGTAGAAATATATTAGTATCTGGAGAATTTAAGAGAAAAAGTAAGTTTTAGGGGGGTTAAACCACCTAACAAACTGTTTATGAACTGATCAAGTTCCAGTTTGAATTGAGTACTGTGGTAGCTATATACTGTAAGGAATTATGCATGATGAATTTCTTAGCAAAACCAGCAGCTGTTAATTTGTGTTGAGGTTTTATACAATGAGCTGTTCTATTTTCATCATCTGTTGAGGTAAACAAATTGCTTTTAAAGTATTTTTAAATGCTGTTTTTCAACTTGCAGGTGGATACAGGCACACAGATGGCAGATAACAGGTATGTTGGACTGTTTTCTTGAAGTTAAATCAAGGTAGTCAGAGCCAACAGTATATCTGGTCTTCTGCAGGAGAGTTGTTTGTTTTTTTTCAACCTGTGAAGAGTGGATTACCAAACTTGGATAAGAATGACATGGTAATATTTTCTCTAACTAGGCTGTTTTTACTTACAGCTAGGACAAAGTGCTCATTTGATACAGGAGAAGCTGAGATTGTAGTGTCTCAGATACAGAATTAGTCTTCTCTTGGATTAACGTTTGCCTTGATTAAGTTTTCAGTGTTCGTATTTAAGTGCCCTAAAGAACTGAAGAGAACACGGATGCTCAGTGTTTCTCTAATCTGTGTAATTTAAGTGTGCAAAAGTCACTATTTTATTTTCTAGTTTACAGAGTAATTTTTGAACAAATAACCATCTTATGGAACAGCTGCAAATCCATATGTGCTGCTGGTGTTTTGAGGCTTGCAGTGCACCAGAGTAAGCTGGATAAGCTGGTCTGTCCAGTATCTAATAATACCCCTTTGCATATGTGATACCTCTTCTCATTTTGTGTCTGACTTAGGGTTAATTTCAGCAATATCCAGCCTGCATTTTGTGACCTATGCACTGGCAGGGAGCACAGGAAGTGTGATGGAAGACACTGCGGCAGGGAGCTGGGCAGGACAGGGACTTCTCTTTTAGAGTAGAAGTGAATGTTTTTACTAGAAAACAAAACAGCCTGTTACGGAAGTTTGAAACGGAGCTTTTATCTCTTGTTTATCTTCCTTTCTTACATGTATCCTTTCTCGTGTTTTTCTTCATCACTTACACTGAAAGTGTCATGTGTTTTCATTTGTGAGTAATAACATTTTTCTGTGTGGAGTGACCCAGTCCAGATGAATGACCAACCATTCACTTAATGAGATGACTTTGTCTGTGAAAGGTTTTTGCTTTGGGGTTTTATTTTGTTTTGAGGTTGGTTGATTTTTTTTCTTTCTTTACCTTTCCTTGCTCTGCCTTTGTATCCTATTCATGTTAGGAGATCTGGTTTTATATCCAAACTTTTTAAGTTTTCACAAGTTTTAGGCATAAATATGTATCTTTTATTGGCATACTTGTTTATAAAACATGTCCTGTAGTAAAATGAAAATTCAGAGTAACTTGTTCTTAAATATTAACATTTTTGTAACGTGGTGCCTTTTTAATATGTTACATTTTGAATTCTTTTAGTAAAACAGAAGATACTGCTTCAGATTCTCTGGAGGCTGCTAAAAATGCAACCAACAAAAAAGGTAAGAAGTACATAGTAATAGGTAACATTACAGAAGTGGGATAAACCTACTGCCTTATGTATTGAAGCTTCTTTATCTACAATTCCAAAGCTTTTGCAGTCAAAACAAGAGATGCGTTTGCAGAGCAATGGTTTCTAGGCTAACTGTTCACTTTCTGGTATTTTCCATGTTCATTGCAGCCAAAAGCAGAATAATGGCTGTATTTTTGTAACAGTGAAGGTATTTTTGTATATGTTGTGACTAGGAATAGGCTTTACTATTCACAAAATAACCCACCAGACACTTGCAATAAGGCCTGTGTAGACAAGCTTGTAACAACATGTAATCGTTATCAGCATAATTATTAAAATGAGCAGTATCTGTGCTTGTTCTTTACTGTCTTTTTTTTTGTTGGAAAATGCATCTTTGTAATGTGTCCTCTTGGAAGTCTTTATTCTGCATTTGGAAGATCTACGGATAACTGCTGATCAAATTAATACTTTAGCGTGCAAAAAACCTACAGTTCCACTATCACTCTGAGTATTCAAATTGTGTAAGAAGAAGCAACACACAAACCAAATCTGTGTGCTATGCAGTTTATTGGGTTTTTTAATGTCTGGGGGGGGAAAAAGCAGTGAGAAAGAACGGAAGGGTGTGAAAAACAAATGTCTTCCCACCATGACAACCTGTCTGGTTATTAGTAAGGGTTTTTAACTCCTAACCCAGAAGCATTTTATATCTGACCTCCTGTAAAAAGACTCTTACAGATTATAAAATTACCTTTATTTAAAAAAATTAGTAGTTGTTGAGGTCATAGCGTTTATGCTTCTTTATTGTACAGTACACAAAGTAGTTGTCAGGTTTTTTTTCACGAGCCAGACTAACTGGAAAACAAATATCTTGGAAGTATAATTCAGTGGTTCTCCTCTTGCAAATTGATACATGGCTTATAAGATACATCTGATGTAGAAGGAGAATAAACTCGTGTTTTGCACTTTCTTACATAAGGGGAAAAGAGGAAATTAGTTTATGTTATCAGTAAACTACTTGCTTGTAAATGCAGCTGATAGATTTGCAAAGAGAAAGATGTGTTTTCTATCATTATTCAATATATTTATATTTCTGAAATCTGGTCCTGAAGTAATTTTTTTGTGTTATTAGTTAACTGTAATAGTGTTATTTGAGACCTGAAAATAGAGAATATTTTTACTGTGACTGCTGTAAGACACGTGAATGACAAAAGCAAAAAGGATGACAAAAGCACTATAAATAAACGCAGATTTGTTTAAAAGTGGTTTTCTGTCTTCTTAGAAAAACTAGCAGACCAAGTGATGCAAAATCCACAGGCCTTGGCAGCTCTACAGGAACGTCTTGACAACACAGCACTTACTCCTTCAAGTTACATTGACACGTAAGTAGCGGGCATAGTAAAATTCTTGGAAGACTGAAAGCATAATAGATTGTTATTACTGAATAATTGAGGTGGGAAATTAGAACCAATGGTTCACTAAGGAAAATGGTTGACTTAAACCATGATTCATAATGGCCTGCTTCAGGAAGGAAGAGTCAAGTTTTAGTTTGCTTACGCAAAATGGCAAACACAATTTTGTCAGGTTCAGTGTTTTCCTTGGCTGTTATTGTTTTGGATAGAAATAACTCCGCTGCCCTCCATTGTTTCCTCCTGTGACCCTTATTCTGGCAGGGCATGTGCTGCACTGACTGACAGTATCTGTAGGAATGCTGTTCAGGATGTAATGGAAAGCTTAGGATCTGTAAATCTCTAGTTTGAAGCTTAGTTTTGTATTAACTGTAAAGTAGATTTAAATATTGCCTTTAGTAAATATTTGTCTTTATTTCTTGACTGAGAATAGCTGGTTGTAGATCTCTTTTAAAAAAAATATGTTTTCTATAAAGAGTTCTTTTTACATGACTGTATCTAAATGTTTAATAACCTAAAGTACAGATGGGCAATGTGCTTTTTAAGTATGACCCGTGAATCAAAACTTTCCCCTGTAGAGTGCACAGTTCTTATTTTTCATAGATGGATCAACACAGATCTAGTCTCAAAGTTTAGGTGTAAACAAAGGTATTAATTTCAGATCTCTGAACTACACGGGGAGGGTGGTGGCCCCAGGGAATCGAACAGAAGATAACACCTTTGAGAACAACTTGGGTAGGAGAGGATTCTTTCAACTTTTTGAAATAGGTTTTGAAGAAATGTGTATTTGACATGAACTTTTTATTTAAAAATTGCAAGTAGTTAAAAGCAGCCTATTTCACAGTGATACAATAAATAAATGCTGAGGCAACTAACTTTAACCTTAAATAATTGTTTGATTTTTAGTTTTCCAAAAGCAGTGATAAGAAGAATTGATGCCTTGAAAAAACTCCAGGTGAAATGTGCCCATATAGAAGCTAAGTTCTATGAAGAAGTACATGATTTAGAGAGAAAATATGCAGCACTCTATCAACCCCTTTTTGATAAGGTGAGAAAACTATGTATATACTTTTTATTTCCTTGTTCCTGTCAGTTCTGGTTGAGTATGTATAATTATACATCTTCAACTACATTCTTCGTTTTTCTAACACAGAGAAGAGAGTTTATTAATGGAGAAGCTGAACCCACAGATGCAGAGGCAGAATGGCATGGTGAAAATGAGGAAGAAGAAAAACTGGCTGTGAGTACAAGCTGAGCGATGAACTACTGGTTTATCGGATTGTCAGAGTTAGTTCCTGTTCTTTCCATTGAGAGACTTTTTATCAGTAATATGTTCCTGTGATGAATACACTGTTATGTCCAGTGAAAGCTTCCAAGCTTTTAGTTTAGCCTTTTTTCAAATTTGTAACCTGAGTGAATTGAAAAGTTACCTTTGTTGGCACTGTTCGTAACCTGTTAACAGCATCTTCTGCTAATGGGTTCCATTCCAGTGCTACATTGATACCCCAAGGTAATAAAAGGCTGGTTGTTTGTCTGCCTGTCCCTGTTATTTTGGGGGACATAATTAGCTTTCATTTTCATAAATACAGATTAGACACATGTCACAGAGTCATAAAATGGAATTGGGCCTAATAAAATATGTGCTCCCTAAAATATGTTGACTCCTACTTGTCTCTTGAGTAGGAGCTATCTAGATATAGGAGGGATAATATAGTCTGTAAGCTACCTGTTACTTTCCTGCCATCATTTTTGAAGATGCATGCTCATGGCTGGCTTTTTCTCAGAGAAATGACCTACTTAGAAAGTTGTGTTTGCTATTCTGTCGGGTTTCTTTGCCTTTTTTTTCCTTGGCCTGATTTCATTTAGTTTTCTTTGGGTGCTGTTCTGTATACAAAGCATATTGTTCTCTTTTGTTTTTACCGATCCACTGAGATTTAGCATGACACACACAGTGCTCCTTGTGCATAAGCAAAAAAACGTTTGTTTGGCTTTGTGTAAATACAGCATTGACAGGCCATATTCCACACAACTAGAAAATCAAACATGTCTAGATGGGAAGTAAACTGCAGCTTTGTGTTCGTGACCAGTGACGGCCCAAGTAGCTGCTGTTAAGAAGATCTTACATAACTGCTGCTATCTAGTGGTGTAAAAGGAAAGGTGCAATACAGCTAATTCAGACTGCGCATTTCCTGCAATTTTTTTGTGATGGAGAAATGTCTTAGTCATGTGTAGGGACTTGTATATCACAAATCAATAACTTGAGACAGATTATTAAATTTTATTTAATAATAATTTAAAGTAACCATAAAAACCAACTTTACCAAGTATTTTTCAAAATGGGGAAGCTAAACCAGTATTTCAGAGGGCAGAGTTAAATTTTAAATTTTTAGATGAAACACTGTAAATGGCACCTGAAGCTACAGAAAGTAGATTCATAGAAAAATAGAAATATTTTTTCTATTTGTAGAAGGATAGAAACATGTTTTAATTATTTTTCTTTGTCAAGTCAGTGAAGCTGTTACTTGGTCTATTTAGTCATCATATAGAAGAGTTTCAAATGAGAGGAAAGTAAATCTGAATTAAAGGTATACATGTTGTGTAAGTAAACCTTGTATTCATTGACGAGAAAAAAACTGTACATTTCAA